CTGTTGCGTAGACGTGTGGGGTTGTTGGGTAGGGGGTGAAGGAACATCTTCTTTTGGGCATGACTGTGTCTTGACAGATTGGAAGTTTTTGTCTGTGCAAAAATCCTTACCTACTAGACACAATTTGGCCAAAGGGTTTGACAGTACTGTACAGAACTGGCCTTGTTCGATGAGTGTTTTGGATGAAGGATTTAGAGAACCACAAAGGTGGAATCTGTTCTGGCACGTTTCGGGTACTGTCATTAGGATTTGTTCGAACAACGCAATGTTGTTTTGGACTGGGCTCTGGGTTAGTTGGGTAGGAGCTTGTGTCTGTTGCGTAGACGTGTGGGGTTGTTGGGTAGGGGGTGAAGGAACATTTTCTTTAGGGCATGACTGTGTCTTGACAGATTGGAAGTCTTCGTCTGTGCAAAAATCCTTACCTACTAGACACAATTTGGCCAAAGGGTTTGACAGTACTGTACAGAACTGGCCTTGTTCGATGAGTGTTTTGGATGAAGGATTTAGAGAACCACAAAGGTGGAATCTGTTCTGGCACGTTTCGGGTACTGTCATTAGGATTTGTTCGAACAACGCAGTGTTGTTTTGGACTGGGCTCTGGGTTAGTTGGGTAGGAGCTTGTGTCTGTTGCGTAGACGTGTGGGGTTGTTGGGTAGGGGGTGAAGGAACATTTTCTTTAGGGCATGACTGTGTCTTGACAGATTGGAAGTCTTCGTCTGTGCAAAAATCCTTACCTACTAGACACAATTTGGCCAAAGGGTTTGACAGTACTGTACAGAACTGGCCTTGTTCGATGAGTGTTTTGGATGAAGGATTTAGAGAACCACAAAGGTGGAATCTGTTCTGGCACGTTTCGGGTACTGTCATTAGGATTTGTTCGAACAACGCAGTGTTGTTTTGGACTGGGCTCTGGGTTAGTTGGGTAGGAGCTTGTGTCTGTTGCGTAGACGTGTGGGGTTGTTGGGTAGGGGGTGAAGGAACATTTTCTTTAGGGCATGACTGTGTCTTGACAGATTGGAAGTCTTCGTCTGTGCAAAAATCCTTACCTACTAGACACAATTTGGCCAAAGGGTTTGACAGTACTGTACAGAACTGGCCTTGTTCGATGAGTGTTTTGGATGAAGGATTTAAAGAACCACAAAGGTGGAATCTGTTCTGGCACGTTTCGGGTACTGTCTTTAGGATTTGCTCAAACAACGCAGTGTTGTTTTGATTGACGCTCTGGATGTGTTGGGTAGGCGCTTGTGTCTGTTGGGTAGGTGCTTGTGTCTGTTGGGTAGGTGCTTGTGTCTGTCGGGTAGGTGTTTGTGTCTGTTGGGTAGGTGCTTGTGTCTGTTGGGTAGGAGAGGGAGAGTTATGTTCTTCTGAACAGGACTGTGTCTTGACGGATTTGAAATCTTCATCTGTGCAGGGACCCATACTAACAAGACACAATTTTGCCAAGGGATTTGACAGTACTGTACAGAACTGGCCTTGTTCGATGAGTGTTTTGGATGAAGGATTTAAAGAACCACAAAGGTGGAATCTGTTCTGGCACGTTTCGGGTACTGTCTTTAGGATTTGCTCAAACAACGCAGTGTTGTTTTGATTGACGCTCTGGATGTGTTGGGTAGGCGCTTGTGTCTGTTGGGTAGGTGCTTGTGTCTGTTGGGTAGGTGCTTGTGTCTGTCGGGTAGGTGCTTGTGTCTGTTGGGTAGGTGCTTGTGTCTGTTGGGTAGGAGAGGGAGAGTTATGTTCTTCTGAACAGGACTGTGTCTTGACGGATTTGAAATCTTCATCTGTGCAGGGACCCATACTAACAAGACACAATTTTGCCAAGGGATTTGACAGTACTGTACAGAACTGGCCTTGTTCGATGAGTGTTTTGGATGAAGGATTTAGAGGACCGCAACTATGGAATCTGTTCTGGCACGTTTCCGGTACTGTCTTTAGGATTTGCTCGAACGCAGTGTTGTTTTGGCTGGGGCTCTGGGTTAGTTGGGTAGGAGCTTGTGTCTGTTGCGTAGACGTGTGGGGTTGTTGGGTAGGGGGTGAAGGGACATTTTCTTTAGGGCATGACTGTGTCTTGACAGATTGGAAGTCTTCGTCTGTGCAAAAATCCTTACCTACTAGACACAATTTGGCCAAAGGGTTTGACAGTACTGTACAGAACTGGCCTTGTTCAATGAGTGTTTTGGATGCTGGATTTAAAGAACCACAAAGGTGGAATCTGTTCTGGCACGTTTCGGGTACTGTCTTTAGGATTTGCTCAAACAACGCAGTGTTGTTTTGATTGACGCTCTGGATGTGTTGGGTAGGCGCTTGTGTCTGTTGGGTAGGTGCTTGTGTCTGTTGGGTAGGTGCTTGTGTCTGTCGGGTAGGTGCTTGTGTCTGTTGGGTAGGTGCTTGTGTCTGTTGGGTAGGAGAGGGAGAGTTATGTTCTTCTGAACAGGACTGTGTCTTGACGGATTTGAAATCTTCATCTGTGCAGGGACCCATACTAACAAGACACAATTTTGCCAAGGGATTTGACAGTACTGTACAGAACTGGCCTTGTTCGATGAGTGTTTTGGATGAAGGATTTAGAGAACCGCAACTATGGAATTTGTTCTGGCACGTTTCCGGTACTGTCTTTAGGATTTGCTCGAACAACGCAGTGTTGTTTTGGCTGGGGCTCTGGGTTAGTTGGGTAGGAGCTTGTGTCTGTTGCGTAGACGTGTGGGGTTGTTGGGTAGGGGGTGAAGGGACATTTTCTTTAGGGCATGACTGTGTCTTGACAGATTGGAAGTCTTCGTCTGTGCAAAAATCCTTACCTACTAGACACAATTTGGCCAAAGGGTTTGACAGTACTGTACAGAACTGGCCTTGTTCAATGAGTGTTTTGGATGCTGGATTTAAAGAACCACAAAGGTGGAATCTGTTCTGGCACGTTTCGGGTACTGTCTTTAGGATTTGCTCAAACAACGCAGTGTTGTTTTGATTGACGCTCTGGATGTGTTGGGTAGGCGCTTGTGTCTGTTGGGTAGGTGCTTGTGTCTGTTGGGTAGGCGCTTGTGTCTGTTGGGTAGGTGCTTGTGTCTGTTGGGTAGGTGCTTGTGTCTGTTGGGTAGGAGATGGAAAATTATGTTCTTCTGAACATGACTGTGTCTTGACGGATTTGAAATCTTCATCTGTGCAGGGACCCATACTAACAAGACACAGTTTGGCCAAAGGATTTGACAGTACTGTACAGAACTGGCCTTGTTCGATGAGTGTTTTGGATGCTGGATTTAGAGAACCACAAAGGTGGAATCTGTTCTGGCACGTTTCGGGTACTGTCATTAGGATTTGCTCGAACAACGCAGTGTTGTTGCTTTGGTTTCCATCAGTGGGGTCGTCGCTGTCAGCCTGCAGGGCGATTAGGTTTTCCTTTAGGGATGTCTCTTTGTGAGGTGAGGACTCATGTTGAGTAGCGTAGTCCGTGTCAGCGGTCTGGCTGAGACCACCGCCTATAGTGATAACGAGCACGAGGACGTAGAGTTTGGGGACCATCGTGTGGCTGCCTGTAGAGCCGTGCACAGTGTTGAAGACCTGAGGGAGGAAATTGTAAGGCATCATTTAGTGTGGTCATGTGTGAACGTCACTCAGTTGGCTGTTGTGTAGGAGAACATTTCCTTGGCCGACGGTCAGAGATTCAGGATTTACATCTATCCATCTATCTATCTATCTATCTATCTATCTATCTATCTATCTATCTATCTATCTATCTACGAGTATCCTTCTATCTCTATCTCTATCTATCTATCTATCTATCTATCTATCTATCTATCTATCTATCTATCTATCTATCTATCTATCTATCTATCTACTTTATATCTATTTATCTATCTATCTGTCTATCTATCTATCTATCTATCTATCTATCTATCTATCTATCTATCTATCTATCTATCTATCTATCTATCTATCTATCTCACCTGTAATACGAGGAGACGTGATCCCGTGTATGTATCTAAAGAGTTGTTTCTAATCCAAAGAGTTGTTTCTAATGTAGGGCCCAAAGAGAAAAACTTTTTTTAAATTACTGAGTCAAGATTTTTTGAAAAAATATTTTGGTTTGGTCTCTAGCCTGTAGAAGTGCCATGCAGTTTCGTGGGCATAGGCAAATTTGTCATTGAGCTAGAATTTTTTAACGCTGTCAGAGGAAAGTGAAAAAGCTTTAGACGCTGCCTCTGTGATTTTGAAGACGTCGGTGTGTTCCTTTTACAGCGTAGCAGCCCTTTCGTGGATTATTATTTTCTCAGTGCTTTGTGTGATGGTGTAAGGGGAAACCCGTATTTTGTTATTGTGAAGGGCCAGACAGCAATACACTAAAGCAATGTAGATCAGGAGAGGAGTTAATCAAGGCAGACCTAATCTAAAGTAAAATAGAGTTAGAAGCCAGGTGTGACTGTGAAAGGCTAGACAGCAATGTAGATGTAAAATGCCTCCGCGGCGTAGACCAGTAGGAGCCGTGACGCCAAGACGTTGACCCCGAGCAAAGCCGGGTACTCAGCTAGTATTATATATACCCATGTAATATTATTATATA